ATTAGCTAATAACGAAAATACGTGAAAACGGTGAATAGTATGAGGAGCTCCGGAACAGCTCCGGGCATAGAGGCTCCGGGGCGTTACGCGCTTATTCCTTCCGAAAAGTGTTTGTTGCACCTGAGTACTCAAGCCCAAAGTAAACCATGCACGAAAGTCAGCGAATCTGTTCCTTTCAAATCGGGTTGACACACCGGAGCGAGCAGCTCTAGTGTTTCAAACTCTTGAAAGGAATACAGCTACATACTGGAAAGCAGCTTTATATCCTATCGGCGGTTCACTCTCGTACTCTTTCCGTTCCAGCGGACACACCGGTGCGGCGTGATCCCGACAATCCGGAGCCGTTGATCGAAACGAGTCTGTCGGTGTAATGTACTCCGTCTCTGAATCTGTGTCCCTACTACGAGTCCACACTTTTTCCTGTTCCACTGGCCGGCGCGGCGTGATCCGATTAGTTCGAGTTTGACTCCGAGTCCGTACAACGTAGACAACGCAAAAGTGGTCCGGACTTAACTCGAACTTGGACCGGACCTGTTTATTTTGCAGTGGATCAGTTCCCACTGTGAAGATCAGTTCCAGTATTTGGCCCTGATAATAGCCAATTTTGGGTTGGCGAGACCCCATATCTGCGTTTTTATTTGATGAATAAATTTTAGGTATACAGTATACACAAACAAACAAAGCATCCTGGGCATTTTATTTGAAATAAACAGTAATTACCGTAATTACATAGTCATTAGTTACTGGAATCAAGCCATAAAATTGCATATTACTACCACCCTATCATAAGTTAAGTTAGGGCATCTTCCACCTCTTCAGGACGACTATTGGTTTATAAGATCATCCATCCAAGGCTTCAAAGTAATTTTCCGTCTCATTCCAACGCGTTGGAAGCCCATCTAACACAATCATTATTTATCAGTATCCAAATCCTCGTCAAATAATAGATGGTCCATCACCATATTCCTTATTTGATTTCTCCCTGCTCACCCTCGCCACACACTATTTTTCCAGTAATTTTTTGGGGACAAAAATGTTTTTAAAATGTAAAAACAAAACAAAACATTCTAACCTCATTTCATTATAGCCGCGGTTATCCTAAATTCCAGGCCATCGAACGATTTAAGTTAATTGCCGATTAGGCGAAAAAAACGCTTGATGCATACGAAAAATATTATGTGATCACGGCTAAAGTTTAATCAGAGAATTTGTGTAATGGTGCATACCAGGCAAATGCAAAATCCCTTGGTACATCGAATCGACTTTTTTAACCGTGATTACATAATTAGCCCTGATTAGCTAACTACGAAAATACCTGAAAATGGTGCATACAGGCATAAATTTTACAAAATTCAACAAATCCAAATAAACAACGATCATGGCGTCCTCTCTTAGACCCTTTGTCAAATACACTCCACCTGTTATTTGGGTAACTATGACGTCATGAATCGTAGTATGTGTATTAGTATGATGTTTACCTGTCGTTAAAATACGCAACAAAAACGCGTCAAGACGCCATTAATCGGCACCGAATTTGTCACGGAGAGAGAAACAACATAAACATGCGCGTGCTTATCTTCTGTATTTTCCATGCGTTCGGTATTTTGCTCCAAGAGCAGAGTGAAGCGGAGCAGTAATCACGTGACCAGCGAGCGCACAGAGCAGTTAAACAGACGCTGTATCAGAGTCCTCGAAATTTTAAGCCCGGTATTCATAGACGGGTGCTTGGCTCAAGCTCCGATTTTTGACAGTCGTGAGCATCGTTTCGTGTTGTTTGGAATAGCAAATATGGCATCAAGTCGTACAAACTGTGCTTGAGGTTGAGCCAAGACGCAACCTTGAGCATCGACTATGAATACGAACGATAAATTCAAGGTCGGACTGCTCGGAGAGCTCATCAGATCATAAAACCAATAGCACGGTTCGTATCATGGTCAGAGAATGTCTTATGTAAAAAAAAACGCAGTTATGAGTACTGGAGAAACATTTGCGGGTTATTTTTGATATAATTTTGACAGAGAAAAAAATTAGCTTTCCGCATTCGCAGTTATGATTACCAGGGCCGGTTTCTCAATAGTTGTATTCCTTTCACAACTAGGAGCAGCTCCGGAACAGCTCCGGGGCTTCACGCGCTTATTCCTTTCGAAAAGTTTTTGTTGCACCACGCATCTCTTTCCTGCAAATCGGGGGCGTCTGAACACCGGAGCGAGTAGCTCGAGTGTTTCAAACTCTTGAAAGGAATATAACTATTAGCGAGTCACCTCCGTTGGTTTTAACTCCAGAATAAGTCCGGAGTCTCATGCATCCGTTTTCCGACGAAAGATGTCCGAAAAATGTTCTATTTTGACATATTTTTATACGATTATGTCAAAATAGAAGGTTTTTCCGACATCTTTCGTCGGAAAACGGATGCATGAGACTCCGGCTTAAGCGTGTCCAATTGCTATGTACACCCTGGAGTTATGACTCGAGTAAAGCTTACTTTTCATGCATCCGTTTTTGCGACGAAAGATGTCCGAAAAACATTCTATTCTGACATAATCGTATAAAAATATGTCAAAATAGAAGATTTTTCGGACATATTTCGTCGAAAAACGGATGCATGAAACTCCGGTCTAATGCATAACTAGGGGGTGACTTGCTATTGAAAACCCGGCTCTTCGGCTTAGTTAAAAATATCTGCAATATTTTTGCGCCCTGTCTTTAAATATGTTCGACCAATAGAAAAAAATCCGCAAAATAAAAATCCGCAAAATAAAAATCCGCGATCGGCGGTTACAAGCAAGCAGGTTATGAGTACTATCCGGACGCTGGAGCGCGCACGGAGTGCTCCCGGTCTATTGTGAATGTAGCCGTGCAACAAACGCCCCGGAGCTGTTCCGGAGCTCCTCCTAGGTGTAAAAAGAATACTAATAGGGGTTTTCGAGCGCTTGACCAGTAAGGGCCATATTCTCCGTAGTTCATAAAGCCTGGCTTAGTGGAAGCACTTGGCTTTTTGTGTGACAAAGCCGAGCTTTTCCACTAAGCCAGGCTTTATGAACTACGGAGAATATGGCCCTAAATACCGCAGTCATGCCCTTGGTTGTCCTGGGTCACAGTCCTTTGACGTTTGTTTGACAGTTTATGGTCAAAGCACTTCCAAAACGCTTGAAATTAGTTGGTTAACATTTTGGTTTTGATTTGTCAAATTTGTCTGCTTCTCCCTTCCCCTTAATCCCCTTGTATTTGTTTACATTTTAAGCTCTAACCAAACAATTATATTCTTATTATTTTCCAATTATTTTTCTATTTTCTGGTTCGCTCGTTTCTTTCAAAGATGAAGATGCATTTAATATTCCTTGGGCTGTATCCATATCGTCGACGTTGAAAATCTTTTCCTTCATAGTTCAAGAGGATTTGGAACCTTTCTCTTCTATCCATTCAAATTACAAAATTAAGATACTGAAACTGGGACTGGAACTGGACTAACACAACCGCAAATGCAAATTGCAAATAACAAAATAAACAAAAAAGAAAAAGAAACGTTCACCATTAATTTTTTCAAATGTAAGTCAATTGTCATCAACAAATGGTGGGAGGCACAGAAAACAGGTCGAAAGTTGTGTAAATACCGCTGCTTGTCAATGTCGAAGAATAACGTCAAAACGAAGACCAAGGGCTCGTTTCGTTTTTAGGTCATGACCACGAATTACCAAACCGCTTAAATTAAATTGGTATAGACTAAATCACGATAGAAAGTGAAGTTGACAGTTCGCGTTGACATTTTTAGTAAACTTTTTCTCTAGGTTGTCAGCATGCGTTAGCGCTTCGATTCCGTCAGTTGGGATAAACGACAGGGTCGTATTTAGAAGAGTGATACACATTTCAGAATAAAAATTTATTTTCAATTTCGTTAAAGGAAGTTAAGTTATTAAAATCCAAAAATCCTAAAATTAGAGTCCAAAGTAAACACTAAACACTTATAAAAAGAGAAAACACTTAAATCCAAACTATAAACCAGGTTTGAAACGCAACACCGAAACATAAAGGCACAGAACACTACTTAAAAAACCGATTGCGATAATAACAAATAAAAAAATAATGCAGAAAACGGCAAAAAACTGAACGATTTCACACAAAAATTCGAAATTCAAAATGCAAAGACCCGAATCTGTTATTTTTATGTGTCAAATCAAAATGACATGTATCATTATTTGATAGTTGTCAGAAAAACGGACAGATCTGGGGATTTTATTTATTTTCAACTGGTGAAAATAACGGTCAAAATTCAAACTCTATCATGAATACGACTATAAATACCGACACTAGACGAGTTCGAATATTACCTCGCGGATGAGATGCAGATGAGATGGATATTCGATCACGTGGGCGCAGATGTGCTCGATTTCCTCCGTTTTATTCGAACGCTCTTTTCAAGCTGATGTTTATTTTAATCATATGTTTCGGTAATCCTTACCTATTTGTGTAAAAGAATTTGTATTTTATTTTATATCCATTATCAATTTTTCATATTTATTTCCCTATTTCCCTTAATTATTTCGAGAATGGATTTTTTATGCATTATCTCTCTGGTCCATGATAATTTTTTTGATGATTCTTCAGATGAAGATCACCCAGACAACCGTAATATATTGGCGAAAGTGGAAAATTTTGCTGAAGAACTACCACTGCTGCACTAACCAAAACTTGACTGGTCGCGGTAAGCGGCTGCGGACAGAGAAAATGTAAATTGTGAGAATGAAACGTCAAATATTTTCATCTGTCTGAACCGTCAGTCGAAAACCTCCGAGCAAATCGAGGAGCTTCTAAACCCTCCCGGATGTCAAAAAAGAACGCACCTCTGAGTGCTCGAAAATAATAAACGAACGGGTTGGAGTACCTCCGAGGCATCCGACGTATTATTCGAACTCGTCTACTAAATGGTATTTACCGGTCAAGCGCTCGAAAACCCCTAATATCATGCACGAGTCAAACTGTTAAAGGAAAACGTCAATATGTCAATTAATGCGTTTTAGCGCCATTTTAGTGATTAGTGATCCTTTTGCATTCTGCATTTCATATTTCTTGTTTGGTCCAAGTTAGCATCCTAGGCGCCTAGTTGATTTTGATCTTATTGTTTGAATAGTAAATCTTTATTGATTCTCAATTTTGCACCGCTAATTAAGCGTTTGTGATTGTGTCAACTCCTTTATTCTAGAATTTTTAGGAGGTAGAATTCCAAAAAACAACAATGGTGAAGATAACTTACAAACCTGGTGATAAGGTATTTGCCAAAGTAAAAGGATACCCGCCATGGCCAGCAAAGGTAATTAATAATTGTATTATCACTTTTCTTTGTAGTATTCACATGCTTGTGATGCTAATTACCTTCTCAGTGCATGTGGGAGAGGCTTTTTTGGTTAAAAATAACGCAATTTCAAAGTTGTGTCGTCCTCCCACTATGATTATTTTACTCAGATAAAAGACATAAATAACGTCTGTGTACAATGTGTAATGTTTACATACATCATACATTCAATTACCTAGTATACTATTGAGTATAATTATAATATTTACCCACCATCTAGTCCAAAACGTCACACACGTGTTAACACCTTGCCTTCCTAGCCAGCTAGCATTTTGTTTGTTTTGAGATTTGACAGTTCTTGTGTTGGTTTATATTTAATTTTTGTTAAAATCTGCAAATACATTTGACCAATTGCTTTGTCTGTACCAGTGCTTCTGGTTTTAATAACTGATCAAAAACATTGATTAAAATCACTCAATTCCTGACTGAAATTAATAAATTGTTATATGAAAGAACTACACTTTATTACGAAGGCGTAGAAGGGACACCCAACTTTTTTTTTTCTCAATTTTTAAAATTTCGAGTTATAAGTCGAAATTTTAAATTTTCGACTTATATCACGAAATTTTAAAATTTCGACTTATAACTCGAAATTTTAAAATTTCGACTTATATCACGAAATTTTACTATAAAATTTCGCCTTATAACTCGAAATTTTATGGTAAAATTTCGTGATATAAGTCGAAATTTTAAAAATTGAGAAAAAAAAAGTTGGGTGTCCCTTCTACGCCTTCGTACTTTATATAGTACATAACAGGTCTTCAAAAAAAAAAATCAAAGATTGCTATGGTTTTTGAAACGTATGTTTTAAGGTGGCTACTCACTATGTGATACTCAGCAAGTAATTTGACTTGACTGTAGTTTGGAAAGTACTCTTTGTTTCACGCGGGTTTGTACTTTTGACATATTCGCCTTCCTTTTTTAACAAATAAAATTTGACTGAAACTAATCAAAACAAATGTTGAAAAAGGAAGGCAAATGATATGCATAAACCTCGATTTGAGCTACCAACTGCAATGAAATAGACTAGTCAATCTAATAACAATGTATCTCGAAAAAAAAAACGTTTATTTTTGAAAATATATTGATTTGAAAATCAATGAACGAATGAAATCATGAATTTCAAACTGCTGTGAAAATTCGGGCCAGGATTGTGACGGTAGAGTCCCAAAAATGTGAGAATGCTGAATTTCGGAGGTACTGATTATTGAACCGTACTTTTGCCACAAAAACCTGATGAAACTGGTGTACTGGTTTGTTCAAAACAGTTTATTCCGAGGTTTATTCTCTCGATGAACCCATGACGTCTCATCAAAATTGGTTCAAACCCAAGGTTGTTTGATACAGGTAGCTTGCCTAATAACTTTTATGATGTCATGTGGGGTGCCTCAACATAATGCAAATCTCCATAAGGCCTCCAGATGACATCATCAAGTTATTCCTTACTAGACAACCTATTAATTTTAGGAACCTTGGTTCAAACCAAGGTTCCTAAAGTTAATAGGTTGTCTGGTAATAGGCAGAGCTGGGCAGGGCTTGAGTGCTTTGTGCTTGCGAAAGTGCTTGAAGCACTTTGAGGGCTTGAAAGCCCTGTGCTTCAAGCCCTTTTATAGATTTGTAATTGGGGCTTGCAAAGTCAATTACTTTAGAAAAGTGCTTGGTAATTTGTAATTGAAAAAAGTAATTCAAGCCCTTTCAATGAGCTTCAATTACTTTTAGAGGGCTTGAAGCACTTTAAGAGGGCTTGAAGCACTTTTGGGAGCTTGAAGCACTTTGAAAGGGCTTGAAGCACTTTAAAAGGGCTTGAAGCACTTTGAAAGGAATTTGAATTGACCATCACTCAACCTATCCCCCACTTGAAAATTTTCGATCGAGTTTTGTCCCTTAATTTTTTTTTCTATTATTTGAACTTGAACCGTCTTGAACTGTCTTTTCTCTCTTAACAATGGAGGTTTTGGGTTTCAGCTTAGAATGGAATTTAAAAAAAAAATTAATGAACTTATTATTCAAATAAATAATTAATTTATATTGGTAACCTATTTAACTTTATCACTGGATTTTTTCCACTTTTCCCCATTGAACATTTTGAAAACCTTAAAATTGAATTACCATGTAGTACCCCAGAACTACCTCTCAAAAAAAAAAACATACTACTGCTACTCTGTGAAATGTAAAGTTCGTCTCTACTATACCAATTCTGTGTGATGAGTGTACGCGGTAGCTTATGCCACTTTGAGAATTTTATTACAAATTCAAAGTGCTTTACACTTTGAGAATTTTATTACAAATTCAAAGTGCTTTAGGCACATTTAAAGAGCTTCAAGCACATTTAAAGAGCTTGAAGCACATTTAAAGAGCTTGAAGCCCTTTTCAAGGCACCCCAAGCACTTTTGATGTGCTTCAAGCACTTTTCAAATCACTTTGAGGGCTTTGTGCTTGTCAAGCCCAAAGCACTTTGAGGGCTTTGTGCTTGTGAAGCACTTTTGAAAATAAAAAGGAATTTGTGCTTGAAATTGAAGCACTTTGATAGAGGGCTTAGGGCTTAGTGCTTCAAGCCCTTTTACTGAGGGCTTTGCCCAGCTCTGGTAATAGGTAACTTGATGTCGCATCTGGGGTGCCTTATGGAGATTTGCATTAGGCAATCCCAAACCACGTGATATTCAAGATGGCGTGGCGGTCAAACATGGGCTAAACTCAAGATTCAAACTTCATTTTGTACCTGTGTGCTGTCTGCTGTTTGAACAGAGTTTTCCACTTTGCGGTCACACTTGGCACCCTGTAGAAAGACACAATTGTCCCTTTCTTGGCAGCTTCCACATCCCACACAACTAGACACTGGCATCATTTTACAACACAAAACAAATATCTAGTTTCTGCCCGACTTAATAGGCTATGTACCAAATATTTTATCAAATATGTAATCAAAATCGAACTCGAAAGAAAATAATTAAAATACACATTAAAAACACGTTCAAAACAAATTTGCTTGGCTGCTACGCCATATTGAATTTTCATTTGACAGATGAATTGGATTGTCTAATTGACCTTTTGTTTAGACGACATATTGCGGTGCGCGAACATAGTTGTCAAAAGAAGAGAACAAACAACAACAAAAACAAAAAACTAGCGGGCTTTCAACATTAAAAACAAAAGTAACTAAATGATTGATCCTCGCTATCCTTTTTGTTTGTTTACTTTCTCTCTCTGATTTTTACTCCTTGTCCTCATTTCATCCTTATATTTCCTAATCATTTGCTCAAAGGTAGCTATTTCAATGCTTTGAGAAGATACCCTTTGTTTCAGCTCTTCTATGTCTATATCTGGGTTTCTCCAATTAGTCTCGAGTCTGATGGTGTAGTGTAGATACCTCAGTTTGCTCTGCTGAATTGTGTAAAAGTTGTTGTTCAAAGCTATACCATCACCACAAACAAACTGAGTGGGAGACCCATCCCGTTGATATGAGAAACGTAGCAGCTGTGTCTTCTAGACATTCAAAACCAGGTTATTTGAGTCAAACCAACCCTGAAAGGAACTCAAAGTTGTGTGAATTTTGTTACTCAATTCCTCCATTCCTTCTGCCGAAAAGACCACTGAACTGTCATCTGCAAACTGGACCGTAGACTGATCAGTAATATTTGCAAGCTCGTTAGTATAGATAATGTACAGTAGTGGTCCAAGGATTGATCCCTGAGGTACACCTTTTTTGACCTGGCTAGAAATTGATGTTAATGTTTCCCCATTGTGTCTTTCAATAATCTGCTGCTTTCTATCAAATAGATAAGATGATATTAGTTGTAAAGGAACGCCCCTCAATCCATACCTTTCTAGTTTCGCTAGCAGCACATCATGATTAACACTGTCGAAAGCTTTAGTCAAATCCAAATACATCGCCACTGTCTCGTTTCTCCCATTAAGGGACTCCAAGATTTTAGTTAGTGCCTGATAAATAGCTCTTGTGGTACTTTTTTTCTTCTTAAACCCATTCCATGTTGAGAGCAACTGCTCATTCTCAAAAAACGAAATAACGCGATCATATATTATCCTCTCAAATATCTTGCTAAAGTTATTCAAGAGTGCAATTGATTGAAATTTTTTTATTTCCTGAGTGTCTCCTTTCTTATAAATTGGAATAATTTGGGCTATTTTCAGTTTATTTGGAAATACTCCTGTGACGAGCATTAAATTAATTATATGAGACAGTGGTTCAATTTCATCTGCCACTTTTTTGATTAAAATGACTGGGATTTGATCTTGCCCTACTGATTTTTTATTTTTTAATTTGGATATGACATGCTTGATCTCATTGGCATTTGTAGGTTTTAAAAATAAATTTTTTGGGTAAAATGGTATATTTTTTGAGATGCCATTTATATTTGTATTGAGGTCAGGATATAGGTTTATATAGAAATCATTTATTTCATTTAGTAAGTATAACATTCTTTTCTTTGTTTGGGTATTTCTTGGAATAGTTTTCGAGCAACGATTCTGTTCTTTTTTCCCCGTTTCCCTGTACCCAGTTAATCAATGTCCATATTGCTCTTCCTGGGTTTTTTAAGTTTGTATAAAGTTTATATTTTCTCTTTTTTTAGATTCTCTTATAACTGATCTTAAGATATTTGAATATTTTTAAAAAAAATGTTTTGTGATACTACCCCTTATCATTTCTTTGTACAAATTTCGTTTGTTTTTTAAAGAAATTTTAATCCCACAAGTCATCCAGTACTTAGGTTTTTTCATGATGCTGAATTTATATTTAGCTTCCTAGATAGGAAGCTATGGTGATAGACCGATTTTGACCATGTCAAAATTTCATTAAATCTTGATGTTTTGGATCATTTTAAGCCTTTTTGGCAAGGTGGCACATTTCCGTCTGTGTGTATGTGTGTATGTATGTGCGTGTGTTGGCGTTTTTCTGAGAAAACGGCTCGATGGAATTTGATGAAATTTTGGAAATAGGTATAGGACGTGTAGGGAAAAGTTACGCAGAGATATAGGAGAAAAAATAATTCCTCTCCAAGATATGACGTCATTGATCTTTTTTTTTAAATGGGAATGCCATCTTTTTTTTCATTGATTGGTAAGAGCTCATTTTGCTTTATATAAAAAAAAAAAAAAAAAATCTCAATAGATTTCATTGGGACATTTTTGAATCGTGAAAAATTATCCGTAATTTTGAAGCTCTCGTGGTATTATGTGGTATTATCCCCGAAAAATGATATCAAAGCCTAAAAAAATGTCAAGATTTATTAAAATGAATTCATGGTTTGAAATGACAATAACAATCATTAATTAGGTAGTTATTTATCTAGGAAGCGTCATGTCAAAAATTTGACATCAGGGGGCGGATTACGAACTCTCGATTCGAACCGAAACCGCCATGTTACACCAAAATTTTGATTTCGAACGCACTCCATGCGAATGCATTTCGACGAAAGTCACCTCGACTGGTTGATGTCTGTCGAAAAGCTATCGAAACGAAATCGAGTCCAATAAAGTTAAGTTATGTTGGATTTTTGGGGGCCAAAATTCGTTTGATTCTTTATTTTGTTTTGACGTTTTGTAGTATTTTGAACTTTGAACAGAAAAATCGCTGAAAAAAATTGTCTTAAAATTAATGATCGCCATTGGCAGGTTTTATTATCTTTTATAGATAAACATTCTCTATTTGCTAGAGGTCAATTTGCAGGGCCCAACGGCAAAGTCATTCAAAGGAAACTCTGGAACAGCTTACAGAAAATAAAGAATCTGTGGGTAATTGTAGATGAGGTCGTACCAAGTCAATAAGGTTCTGGACCAAGACTGTGCTAAGTCTAAATAGTTCAATAAACCTTGCCTCTGGGTCTTTTTTCTTGAAACAGGGGAGCAGGGTTCCCAAGAGAACGAGTGTTCCGTCTTTGTACCTACTTATGTCGTTATCATTTGCATATCATTGAAAAAGACGGAACACTCGTTCTTCTGGGAACGCTACTCCCTGTTTCAAGAATAAGGACCCTGGATGTAAAAAGGAATCATAACTTTCTCTGATTTCTCTTCTCATATGAATTAATGCACGATTTTCTCGTCTTCTTGCATCATTTTGCCTTCGCCGCCTTATGACTCTGATTATGGTAAACATATTACTAACTTTTTCCTTTTATAAAATTTTTTAAACACTTTGAAATTGCGAAATTAATCTTTAAAGAACACAAATAACCACAACAGAACAATAAAAAATTAGAATTAGTATTAAGTCGATGTCAAAAAATTGACAAAATTTGGTAAATTTGAGTGAAAGGCGTCACAAATCTCCGAACTCACACGAACACAAAACGAAACTTGTACCTAATCATCTCTGACGTTTCGAGCACAATCGATGCGTATTCCCTTTCGTATCGAGTGTCCATTTCGAGTCGTGTTTTCGTAATCCCCCCGCTGGTTTTTATTAAAAATTAATGGCAACTCAAATGTTCCCCAAAATAGTGTCATTAGACTTAGTTTGTGTTCTAGAATTAGAAATAAAAAATAAAAAAAAAAGAACACTAAGGCTGTGGTCCGAATATAACCAGGGTTGTGGTTTCGCGGTCCGAAAGGAATCAAATTATTCTGGTTCCTGGAAAAGTGGTTACTTTTGTACCTTGGTTTCCTGAAATCTGCGGGGGGATTACGAAAACACGACTCGAAATGGACACTCGATACGAAAGTGAATACGCATCGATTGTGCTCGAAACGTCAGAGATGATTAGGTACAAGTTTCGTTTTGTGTTCGTGTAAGTTCGGAGATTTGTGACGCCTTTCGCTCAAATTTACCAAATTTTGTCAATTTTTTGACGTTGACTTAATACTAATTCTAATTTTTTATTGTTGTGTTGTGGTTATTTGTGTTCTTTAAAGATTAATTACGCAATTTCAAAGTGTTTAAAAAATTTTATAAAAGGAAAAAGTTAGTAATATGTTTACCATAATCAGAGTCATAAGGCGGCGAAGGCAAAATGATGCAAGAAGACGAGAAATTCGTGCATTAATTCATATGAGAAGAGAAATCAGAGAAAGTTATGATTCCTTTTTACATCCAGGGTCCTTATTCTTGAAACAGGGAGTAGCGTTCCCAGAAGAACGAGTGTTCCGTCTTTTTCAATGATATGCAAATGATAAGGACATAAGTAGGTACAAAGACGGAACACTCGTTCTCTTGGGAACGCTGCTCCCCTGTTTCAAGAAAAAAGACCCAGAGGCAAGGTTTATTGAACTATTTAGACTTGGCAAAGTCTTGGTCCAGAACCTTATTGACTTGGTACGACCTCATCTACAATTACCCACAGATTCTTTTTTTTCTGTAAGCTGTTTCAGAATTTCCTTCGAATGACTTTGCCGTTGGGCCCTGCAAATTGACCTCTAGCAAAAAGAGAATGTTTATCCATAAAAGATAATAAAACCTGCCAATGGCGATCATTAATTTTAAGACAATTTTTTTCAGCGATTTTTCAGTTCAAAGTTCAAAATACTACAAAACGTCAAAACAAAACAAAGAATCAAACGAATTTTGGCCCCCAAAAATCCAACATATAGTTGGACTCGATTTCGTTTCGATAGCTTTTCGACAGACATCAACCAGTCGAGTGACTTTCGTCGAAATGCATTCGCATGGAGTGCGTTCGAAATCAAAATTTTGGTGTAACATGGCGGTTTCGGTTCGAATCGAGAGTTCGTAATCCGCCCCCTGGTTAACCAAATGTCAAAATAGTTACCCGCTATCGGATGTCGGTTCTGTTGGTTTTATCTGTAAATTCTGTCAATTATTTTTTATTTCATATTTGCGTTCCCCAAGTAACCGGAATTTTTAGTAACCATCTGTCAACCGATTCGGTTACTTTGGTTAACGTTTGGTTATATTCGGACCATAGCCTAAATATCCCCATTGCTGTTGTTTCTTAAACTCGCAAACTATAGTTCTTAACCCTATCATAGTTCTGAAACTTCTTGAAAATCAAGCAGGCCGTTTCCAGAATGAAAATTGATGGGACTGTCAAGGTCCGTTCCCGAACAAAGAGGGGTGTACAGGTTTGTTTATTTGTTTGTTGTTGGTTGTTGGTAAGCTGCATTGCATAAAGTTCTGAGGGCTCTTTTCTGTAAGACAAACACTGACTGAACGGATGTCTGAGTTGAGATTCCCCAGAATGCGATTCCATATCTAACATGTGACTCCATCAAGGCGTAATATGCAGTTTTGGCGGTGTATTTTCCGAGCTCTTGCAATGTGTTTTTAACCATGTAGCATCCCTGTGATGGTTTTCTATTAAGCATATCAATATGTGTTTCAAATCTTAACCTCGAATCTACGTGCATCCCATGAAACCTTACAACATTTTTTCCCTAATAGTGTCTCCATCAAGAGTGATACCGTCCAATGAACATTTAAACATTAGAATATTAGTTTTTTAGGCATCTAAGACCAGAAGGTTTGCATCGCACAAATCCTTTATTAATGCAAAAACACGCTCTATAATGGTTGGAAGAACCTGCAAATCCTTATGTCCCCAGAGAATGGCCGTATCATCTGCAAACATGTGTGTGGAATATACTGTTAAAGCAAACCCCCTGAAAAATAATCAGATATCTGAAATTTACCATCTCACAGCCTAAAACTCAGCAAAGGAAGCCTTTGCTTCTAATTTACCTTGAACTTGGATCGATTAAACATATTAAACTATAAAGCGTTATACTTAACTTTTTAGCTTATGTATGTGTCCGTATACTGTACCACCATAATAAGTAGCTCTAAATGCTTTTTCTGACGTCTTTATTCGTTTTAGGTCGTAAGTGATCTTGGAAGGAATAAATTCAATGTACTGTTTTATGGTACCCAAGAAACGTAAGTATCTCATTTATTACTACAATCCTCATTAAATTTATACAAATGACTTCTTGCAGGGGTAAAATTAAACAAGAAGACTTGGCTTTCTACCTTAAATACAAAAACTCTTATGTACACAAATATGTAAAAAGGGCTGGCTATTTGGACGCTGTAAAGCAAATTGAAGAAGATATTGCAAAAGATGGTGTAGATATTAACCAAATAAATCTTGACATATCTGGTAGTGACATTGATAGAACTGTAAGTATTCAAAATGGTTTTCTCTTCTTTGATTAACACTCGTTTTGCAGCTGGACGATGCAAGTTACACTAGTGAAAAAAGCACTCCCAAACACAAATTCCATAAAACTGCTGATAATGACCAACCAGCTGCTGGTGTCGTCGTGAATAAAGCAGGACGACGGAAAAGGAGCAATGTGTCTGAAACGAATTCGGAAGGAGCTGATTCCAAGAAAGTTAGAAGGGAGTCATCTTCTTCAGTTGGTAAGCATTAATTCCTCACCTATACACGTTGTCACGAAAGGTTTGTTACAAACTTCTGGAGATGGTGAATCTCATAAGAATAAAGTCTTTTTTTTGATAAACATATGTCCAGAAATGCTCTGCTTCCCAGATACAGGGTGTTAAGACGTTGTAAAAAGCACCCTGTATCTTTAAAGCGAAGCATTTTTGGACACATGTTTATCAAAATTTATTTCCAATATTTTCACTTCAACCCTCTCGCAGGGGTAAGCTCCAACCCTTAAATCTCAAATGGCATTAGGGGTCGAGTGATACCTCATTTCAAAGGTTATCGAATTCTCTTTTCAACGGTGCCTAGTTTTTTGAATTTACTAATGTTTTTTTTTTTTCAAAAGATATTTAAAATTAGAATGTATTTGGTTGAATTTTATTGAGTAATTAAAAAAACCAAGACTTAAACCTTGTGATTTCAAGTGATAGAACACAGCTTAAAAAAAATCACTTCTTAACTAAAAATTGTTATAACTACAAAATTGATAGTGCTTAAATTGACTAAAGCATTACTAGTACCGTTTATTTTGGAATGCTTTTTCTCAAAAATAGTGATGTGAACAAGGGAACGTTCTGATTGTGCTTTCGAGAACATTCGCGAACGTTCGCGCACGAAAAAAAGGTTCGTGCTGAATATTACCTTCGGAGCACATTGAGCACGATAGAGAATATTCAGCACGTTCTCAAGCACGAGCTGTTGAAGGCGGGGATATATCGAATATTGAGCACGAGAACCAGAAAGCAACTTAGCAGCAATAGCTATTTTTTTGTAAGCAAAGGTAGCGTTGTACTGGAATATACTGAAACTAAAATCACTATTTTATTTTATTATCAAAAAAAAGTCTCCTAATGATAATTGTATGTTGAAGTTTCACAGAAAACCCCAAATTAGAATTATTATTGTTGTCAAACATGACACAAATTATTTATTAAATGCTGGTACTTTTGCTCTCATTTGACAGTTAAAAATAATCAGGGGTTAGAATGTGCTCTAACCACATCATACTTATAGACCTTGGCCCATGCAAAACTTTGACAACGTATCAAATTCGTTAATTGAGAGCAAAAGTATCGGTCCTAAATATGTATTATATTTTCCTAAGAAGTTTGAGAATTTTCAGCACATTTATGAAGAATTTTCAGAATAATCAGAACTTTCACCAGAAATTTGGGAATTTCAGGAAATTTGAGAAAAATCAGAATTTATTTACAAAAATGTTTTGTTTTATTCAGCTTCTGATGAAAAGGATAAATTCTCGGGTCCTGCTCGTTTATGCTCGTTAATTCTCGATCCTGCTCGGAGAACATTCTTCGAAAATACTTGCTCGAGCATTTTACATCACTACTCAAAAACCACTGCATCAAATTCAAAAAAATAGGCACCGTTGAAAAGAGAATTCGATGACCTTTGAAATGAGGTATCACTTGACCACTAATGTCATTTGATATTTAAGGGTTGGAGCTTACCCCTGCGAGAGGGTTGAAGTGACAACATTGAAAATATGTGCAAAAGATTTCCCCCTCCGAATAGGAATCGATTCAATGAACGATGAATACGAGAAATCGGCCTTATTTCGTTTTCATTGGCCCACCCTGTATACGATATACAGGGTGTCGACTTAGTGCGATATCGGACGATATTATGTCCTCACAGAGTGATGCAAGAAAAAAAATTAAATTACAAAATTATTTGGTACTCTAATATGTATTAGTTGAAAATATTTTTGAATATACAGGGTGCTCCGTTTATGTGGTATGCGACACAACTTTGTAATTTAACTTTTTTTTCTTGCATCACCCTGTAAGGAGATATCGTCCGATATCGCACTAAGTGGACCCTTGTATATATAGTTGTTTCTACAATTTTCTCTGCGTTTCTATACATAGTATTCGTCTACTAACACTAGCTAGAGTTACGGTGTCCCCAAAATTAATATAGCAAGTACTACAGGGTATTGAACCCCGTTATAAATATTTTTATTTTATTTACAATCTGTCTGATTTTAGTTGAAAATGATAGTGAAGATACTGCCAACGATGACGCTCCAAAAAAAGTGGAATCCACTGCTGACGATAACAATGACGAAGAAATTGCAAGTGAAACGGACCAAGCATCAGCAGAAGTACCTAAAAATAAAGAGCCAGCAGCAACTGAAAAGTAAGTCAGATGTTTTTTGTTTGGGAATATGTAGCATAGCACTAGATCAAGTAGTCACAGTGGCCCACAAGTATTGTTCGTCGATTTTTAACTGACACTTGCGGTATGAGGAGCGAGGCGGTGTTTCGTATGGCAAAAACAGGTGTGATGTCAGGTAATCATTGGCGTTCTAATGTAGGGAACCACCAGCTCACATTCCGTCCGAGTATCAGATTAAAATCGACGAACAATAGTGTGAAGCCTGCGCCAAAAATTGTAGCTCCAAAAATTTCCTGGACCAATAGACCAGTGAAAATGAGTTTTCCCGCACGCATATCAGTGCGGAAAAAGTTTTTCCGCACGGCTGTCAGTGCGGCAAAAATTTTACCGCACGGCTGTCAAAAAAAAAAAAAGAAAAATTCTATATTTTTACGCCTGTAGGAAAAATATTGTACCTAACACTTGCGGAAAATGTGTTTCCGCACTCGGCTGCTTCACCGAACTCCGCTACGCGTCGTTCGGTAAACGGCAGCCGCGTGCGGAAAAATTCATTTTCCGCACTTGTTAGGTAAATAGCTATTTTTGGTGAAAAAAAAAAGTTAATAACAGCATGAAAACTGTTGAGAAGGGAAGTAAACATAGCAGAAACAATGGGAAAAATAAATTTAGGCCAGTATCTGAAGAGCTAATGTCATAAAGCCCAAGAAGCAGTGCTGCTGTGATTTCTTGAGTCATTTTTGAATTTTTCTTTCTTGCCGCCTTCGCCATAATTTCTACTACTCTGTAATGCAAAAGTCGCTGTGATTATGCTCACTGACAGGGGGGGTTTATTTGAAACGTGCAATTCAAATACGTCTGACTAAGTCGCAATTTTCGCCGGTATTTCAATGCTAAAAAATGCGACTTAGTCAGACAAATTTGAATTGCATATTTCAAATAAACCCCCCCAGGTATGTAGCTGAATCTCAATTGTTAATTTCTATAAACAGTGGACTAAAATATCATTTAAGATGCAAACACAATCAAAAATTGGACACAGAGAATGATTTTTTCCTACAGCCGTGCGGAAAAATCGATTTCCCGCACTGATATGCGTGCGGAAAATGAGTTTTCCCGCACGGTGCGGTAAAACTTTTTTTTTTGACATATCAGTGCGGAAAAAGTTTTTCCGCACGGCTGTCAGTGCGGAAAAAATTTTACCGCACTGATATGTCAAAAAAAAAAAAGAAAAATTTTACATTTTTTCGCCTGTAGGAAAAATATTGTACCTAACACTTGCGGAAAAATTCATTTTCCGCACTCGTGAGGTAAATAGCTATTATGTTATCAAAATAAATATTTATGCAAGTTTTACAAACGTTCAGTTTTCAATAAAAATACGTAAAACACCAGCTTTCTAGTCAATAAAAAAATGACGCTACATTATTTCATACTTTTAAATAAAGTCCAATACATAAATCAATTAATGGGGATAGGGGATACTTTATTTCATTATTAGCAAAAAACAAACCATAGGTATAACAAAGTAAATCGACTAGATCATGCAAACGATACATAGTCTGTAAGTTTCTGTTTGCACAAAGTCACCTCATTTTCCTTGTTCCATTTTTGTTTCTATAATAAATTGTGATAATAGAGGTATGGTATTTTTAATACCCATTTAGAATAACTCCATCCTTATTTATCAGTCACGAATCGAATGAAACAAAAAATTACCAACAAAAACGAACGGCGATTGCTAATATGTCAATTAGTGATGATTGCAATCAGTTTGTGCAGTTTATTCAGATTGAAAGAATACCTGGAATTATGATTCAGGTAACTAACACAAAGCGCCCAAAGGGGTCGTCTATTGTAATATTAGTTTTATTATTTTGTAATTTCTTTGAGAATGGATTTCTTAACTTTTCGTTTTCATCCCCACTCTCCACTCTCATACCTAGATTTTGGATACCCGATGGCTCCGGCAGTAGTTTATTATTATTTATCTATCAGAAATGTTTACTGATAGACCTGCTTCATTGTATTTTTGTCCAGTTTCTGAAATATTTTGTCGGGTGTGCCGTGCCGATTGTGTTTTTTATGAAATTCTGATATTTCGTAGTGTTCTTTAAACTGTTCAGTGTTACACTGTTTGAAGAGAAATAGATTCATTATCTTACATTATGCCGAAGAGTCTGGGTAGAACCTATAAAAAAAATAAGCGTGCCATGAGCATGAAGCTGGCCTGGATGAGAAGACGTGCAAATGAGTAAGTTGAACCAGAAGCTGGTAATAGTAATAACACATCCTCACTTCGTTCACATGTTACTGATTTTCATTTTCCGTCATATCTCACAGTATTTCATTTTAGGGCCTACATCTGCGGATATGTCATTTAGCTGTTGGATTTTTTCGTTTAACTCTTTGTGTTTTTTTTTGCTATTAGGACTATGTCATCAGCAATTCTGAGATGTTCTTAGTATACTCTTGGTGTCTCATTTTAGTTTCTTGAAAATTTCCTTCAGGACAAGGGTGAACAGTTTGGGCGAGATAGTGTCTTCTTGCCTCATTCTTCTCTGTAGTTTTATAGGGTGCGTTTTTGTCTTGTCGTTCAGTTTTAATCTCTGTGATTGCTTATGTTCTTTATGATGTTCGTGTATCTCGATTCTCGCGTTTTCTAAGGATTCTAATACTACCCATATTTCGACGGAGTCGAATGTTTTCTGGAAATCAACGAAGGCCACATGGAGCGGTACGTTATACTCGGTGCACTTCTCGATTAGTATTCTTATGCTGTCAGATCATCTGTGGGGCTAAAGTGTTTTCTGGATCCAGCCTGTTTGGCAGATTGGTAGAAGTAGAGTTTATTCATTTCACCATTTCGGAAAGTTACTTGACATTTTTTTAAAATTGACTAAACATTAAACACAAAAAATCCAACAAAAGTCAATAGCGCAATAATAAATATGTACAAAAAAAAGTGGATTATGCGTAAAATTGGGACCAATTTGGAGAAAAAAAATTATGTTTCACACAGCAGAAAATCAGAATAAATGCATTGGCTGGTTTCCTGAAACACCAGCCGACGCCGCGCCATTAAATCTTAAAGTGTCAAATACAAAAGTTTTGAGAAATTATCAAAACTTTTCAAGTCAGTTTTAAGCATACCATACAGGGTACGATAATACATGGTGTTCCATTTAATAGTTATTTGTATACCATGACCGCGAAACTTTTTAGCGTCCTGGATATTATCTTGCCTCGGAAGCAAGCGGCCTCGGCGATAACTTTTCTCTGCGTACGCTAAAAAGGTATTTCGTGGCCTTGGTATACAAATAACTATTAAATGGAACACCATGTATTATCGTGCGCTTATTAGTTAGTCGCCTTCAACCTCCTTATTTCAACGATTTACGGTTTGATATTTTTATCTTCAATAGTTATAGAGAAAAACATGAAAACTCCTTTCAAGGTCTCATGTTGAAGAAAGAAAAATTATACCATTTATGCATTAGAGAGAATTATTTATAAACCAGCTATTCAAATGGTATTCATTAATTTACAAGGCGAAATATTATAATAAATCCAGATGTCTTAAGTGATTATTATCATTAAGAAAAAAATAACATTAGACCTAGGAAGGGATTTTCGCGTTTTTTTCCTATAACTATTAAAGATAAATATATCAAACTGTATATCATTGAGGTCAGGCTGAAGAGGACTAATAAATAAGCGCACAATAGCGCACAATATACAAAGACAGGGGCCATTTAAAAAATATAACTTCACTCTGCTACACTTTTTTGGCGCACCCTGTATGCTTAAAACTGACTTAAAGTGTGTTTTTTTTTTAAAGATAATTCCCCAAGTCAAAAATTTAGTAACTATATTGGCAACACAAGCCTTTTCTACATTAAAAATTTGAAAGCATTGACAATTTTACATTGTATTGCCAAACATAATGTCATTTTGACTTTTATCTTTAAAAAAAACAGACTTTATGTAGATAAAAACTTATGACAATTAGGCATTCCAGGTCACGTGACTTTTGACAGGTCCACTGGGGGGCAAACAAAGGCAACAAAGCCTAGATCAGTATTTACACCGTTCTTTGAGATTGTGTTTCCGAATTTTTGCGTTCTTAAATGCTCTCAATAAGTTTTAAGTTGTTTTTGTGGTAGAATGGCTAACATTGACTATTATTCATCGTTAGCTAGTGATGTGAAATGTCGGTATGACCAAAAAATACAAATATTTGCCAATATAGATCCTTATAAACTTCTACCTAATGAGTTTACTTTAAGTATCAATGAGTTGCCAGAGGTTTCAATTTTGGATTTATCCGAATATTTGACCCACACCCACAGTTACTACACAGGCTTGCAGTTGAAGGCGTATAAAGGGTTATTCAAGTTCTGCTGGACTACCTAAAAGGTATTAAAAGTAAATATTACTTGTAGAAACAAACCAATTTTTCAATATAAATGTGTTTTTGTATTTTAACAAGTCATAATACTTACCATTAACAAAATGTTTTGAACAAATACGAGCATTTTTCAGAAACGATTCAGTTAAATCTCTCCTTTTGAGGCATTTAATCCACAGATTTCGTCGTTCCTTTTTTAGCTCGTTTAGACGATTCCCTAGATCTCTTAATGCTGCTGGGATCCTGAAAAACCTCTTCTTTATCTCTTTCCGCTCTACTAGAGCACCTAACAACGCAGCAAAAAGAAGGCATCTTCACAAAATAGATTGAAAATTCTTGGTTTAACATTGAATCAGGTTATGTTTGGCTTTTGTGTGCCCCCCAAACTAATATGGCGGATCGGTTATGACATTAACCTGGAATGCCTAATTTCTCGAAACTTTTATATTTGACACTTCTGCCAAAAACGCCAAATCAAAAAGTTAGGAGGGGAAAACATTTATAGATCATTTATAGATCACCCTGAGCCGTGTTTCTTTTTCGTAATTTTATATTTTTATTTAGGCAATCCCCTGATAAATTTCCTCAATTTATGACCCATATTAGCAACCTA